TCGGATTCACTATCAAAATTACACGAAAGCTGATTTATGAAGATCAGAAATGGGGTAGCTTTGCTCTCCTTGAGAAAAATTTGAAGACTAGCTTCAACTTTCACATTTAAAAATTTTGAACCATGATTAACGTATTACCTACTCAAAAAGCATAAAATTAAAAAGGAAATAAAACTGACTTGTGGGGAAAAGTGAGTCACATAGTCCACAGCCCTGCTGCACAGCCACTGAAGGCCAGACCCCAGGAAGCTGCCTGCCTGGGCAGAACCACATGAGCAGCCAGCGGCAGAACCAGGAGCAACATTCAGCTCTGGCTTCGAGGCTCTAATGAGGCACGCGTCCACGCCCTCCTAAGGTCAGGGTCTGAGATGAGAGCCAGTCTCAACCGTGCCTGGGGCAAAACAGCAGATGAACCTGGATTTGATCAGCAGCATCCTACACCAATTGCATGCTTAAGCCTGTTTACGCTCTTTCACTGCAAAATATACTCAACTGAGACCCCCTAGCTGTCAAAAAGCATGAGTAGTTTCAGTGAGACAAAACCCTGGTCCTGGCGCCACAACAAATGACATGAAATACATCTGCAACAGAGTTACAGATAAACCCTTGGTCCTTCACGGGGTCAGGCGCTCAGGTCCTCACGGCCAGTGCTCCCCAGGAACAGGGTCACCTTCCCCAGGACGTGCTCTCAGCGCCCTTCCTGGCAGGACTGTCCCATGTGAGGGCCTTTTCATGCCTCGGGTTACTACATCTTCTCTCATTATTTTTAAAAGGTGTATCAACCCTCTTTCAAGTGTTTGCTTTATTACCTGCAAATTTTTTATTTCTAAAGAAAGGCTTCAAACTCAGGTAGATGTACATTCAGACTCTACACATACATTGCCTAAATTTAACAAAACTACAGTAAGTTCAAATTATAACCAAATAAGACCTCCATTTCTATAGCCTCACCTCCCAGTGAAACATAGAATTCTTGGCTCAAGTTCTGAATGTAACAGAGCTTTTCTGAGAAGGACCCAGCAGTGTGCTGCTGAGTATAATGCTTCCTTTGACAATGCAAAAAACTAATTTTATACACACACACACTAGAATCATTTCTTGATTTGTTGGCTGTCAGGATTCTGTTTTTCATTGCCACAAACATACAGTTCACGGCAGCAGTGCCAGGGCAACAAGCAGGCTGGAGGGTCGCGGGAAAGCGCCACAGTCCGCCGAGACTCAGTCGCAATTCCCAACAAATGCGGACATGCAGCACCTGTGCTTTTAATGTATGGACCTTCATGGGGTAGATTAAAATATGGGTCACAGGTCACAGGCCAGAGACAGTGAGGTAGGACTGGGAGTCACAAGCAAGGCCTCAGCCATCCACTGAGCGAGGGTCTCTGCAAACTGGATGACCACTCAGCTCAGCTACCCTCAGAGCCAAGGGTGTAGAGTTCCTGAATTCATCCAAGAAAATCTAAAATGGCCTGAACTAGTACTTGAGCAAGAAAGGACTTGTTTATTCATTTGGCTCAAGGTCTGTGTGTCGCAGCTCTCTGGCAATGAGGTATTACAAATATCCCTTCAACAGAAACTTAGCAGGAGGCCAACTAAACGTCCCAGCTGGGGAGAGAAGGTTTGCACCACTCTGCTGGAAAACCAGGCGGAAGCCATACAAGATCCCTAAATGCAGCCTCCATCAGGGCCACATTACTGCCTATAGAGAGTAAACTAAAAGAACGATGATTTAAAAAAAAAATCCTATCTCACTCATCTTTATATTCCCAGGATAGTGCCAGGCACAAAGCCACTGGTCAGTAAACACTGCCTCCATCAGTGTACAGATGAGGCTTACTTCCTGACTCTTGTGCTGAAGCTAATTATTACTTTAAGAAATGTTTTGCCTGCTCCTAATCGTTTTCTTGAAGTTTCAGTTTTGACACCATTTTCTCTGGGAAACCTAGACTTCAAGTGTCCCTCTTCTGCTGCCATACAGTGTTCCTGCCATCACACGACACACACTGTCCTGAAGACCCAAGGCAGAGATCTTGCCTGCTGTTTTAACTCTGTATCCCTAGCCCTCAGCACAGTACCCACCTATGACAAGCGCTTTAAAATACTTGTGAATAGTGAATCAACCCACACGAAGGGCTTTACATTTATCAAGGCAGAACAATGCAATGCACACTTTGGACTCAAATGTAGATTCAAATCCACTCTGCCACATACTAGTTGGGTAGACCTTCCAAACCACTTAACCTCTCTGAGCCTCATTTCCCCATCTGCAAAAATCCCCCTACATTCCAGGCTTTTCTTAGGAGTAAAATTCATCATGGATGACACAGAAATAAAACAAAGTAATTTCAGATTATGAAAAACATTAAGATTGTAAACTGACAGAGCAACAGTTCTCAAACCTTTTGGTCCGAGGACCCCTTTACATTATTCAGTATCACTGAGGACCCCAAAGACATTAAAACTTTATATAAGTTGTATCAACTGACAACTGCCCTATTAGAAATCAAAACTGAGCAATTTTTGAAACACTCACTGAAAAATAAATCTATTACATGTTAACATACAGATTTTCATGAAAAAAATATTCTCAAAAGAACAGAGTTTTCACTTTTACAAATCTATTTAATGTCTGGTTTAACAGAACCAGACAGGTGGATTCCTCACGTCTGCTTCTACATCCTCTCTGTTGCAATACGTAGTTTTTCAGTGAAATGCATGAGGACAATGCAGCCTCATACAGGTTGGGGCCCTCACCACCACGCCGCCTGCTAAGGCGTCAGCAGTCTTACCCCAACTGCTGGTGTGTGCAACCAAGTAGAAGAGCCCATTAGTATCACTATGAAAATATTTACCTTGCAGACCCCTGAAACTGTCTCCAGGAACTCCTGGAGTCCACAAACCACACGTTGAGAACCACTGTGGCAGAGAATGACTGGTGTAAAGCAGGGAATGGTCACTTTTAGAAAGGTCTGAGGAGGCTTCTCTCGGGAAGCTGAAGCACAGAGACCTACAGAGTGAGCAGGAGGACGTGAATTCTCAGAACAGGGAACAGCACAGGCCCTGACTCACAAGCAAACGTCGCACGGTCAAGGACCACAGAGGACGGAGTGTGCAAGCGAGGAAAGAGACGGGAAGGGCAGGCAAAGGCCAGACTGGAGGTAAGAGCCTGCAGGAGTGGGATTTTAAGTTAAAGGGATGAGAGATCCACTGAACAGTTTTAACCAGGGAGTGGCCATCTTATTTACATTTTAAAGAGATGCCTGGGGCTGCCAGGTGATGGATTTACAGAAGGACCAAACAAGCAGAGACCAGTCAGAGAGATGATGGCTGGGCCAGCGGTGACACCAGAGATGGAAAGAGCAGGTAGAAGCTACAAAACTTAATTATGAAATGTCTTGGGAAATAAGAGAAATACTTGTTCTTAAGTCTAGGACCTGAAAAACCAGGTGAACAGTGATGCCATCTGGGCAGATAAGGAAGCCCGGCCTACTCCAGTGCGAACTTTACACTCTTTCTCTATCTCAAGCCTTTTTCCAAGTAACTGAGGGGCACTGCCCTACTTTATTTTTAGCACAAGTCATATTAATAAACACTGCACAAAGTAAGGCCAAGACAGGGAGAGAGACCTTTAAGACCTCCTTCCAGACACCATTAGCCACTCATCCAAGTTCTGGGCAGTTACTACCACCCACGAATCCGCACACCTGTGTTATCATGCAGCCGCCGCTTCTCCGCGTCCGCAGAGGCCCCACGCGTGTGGACGCCCGCGGGGATCCGCGTGCCCCGCAGTGAGCTACGTCACAGCATTTCCCCCATTCCCGCCGC